TGTGCTTGCGGGACCAAAGAGCCAGAGCTCAACCCCCGCAAGAACAACTAGGCGAGTACAACTAGATGAGGTGAGTACACACACACAAAAAAAAAACTTTTAATCTTGGGGTAACTTCAAACAACAATGAGATAAGCTGAAATATGACTCTTGAGCGTTATTTTTTAGTGGAATTCAGGGTGATTGCACATATTGTGAGTGTTAAATTACGACTTTTTATACCGAAAATATGAAAATTAGTAAAAACGGCGATTTGTCATATTTTGCCCAAACTGACCTGCAGTGTTCAAAATACAATGATAATAACAGGGGCACAAATACATGGAAAGCTAAGTTAATAGAGGAAGCTACAGGAAATTTCCATAGCCAACACATCAGCTGCATCACAATACATAGATCGATGCTTTAAGGTAATTAAATAATATTTATCAATTGAATTATACTTTACCTTATTAGTTTGACACAAGCTATGGATTTTATCCGACGATGTGATTGCGCTTCTCATCATTTGACCTGGCTCATCTTTTGACCTCATCTTGGCCTGATTGGATCGGCAACACATGTTGACGATCGCCATTCTGTTCACTGATATTACCGTTTGACACAACAGTTGTTTGTGCCCGAAACGCTTTGCGTAATAGTGGCTTTAGGCATTGTATGTACTAGCTCTATCTATCAAGCCAACAAACTTTGTAAAATCTCTTTATGTATGTACCTTTACCTAAATAAAAATTATTATTATTATTATATATATTGTAAAACTGCATTCATCAATACACAACAAACCACAGACACTGTTGGTCAGGCAAAACAATTGTATTTCTAAGGAGTGTCAGCTTGTAAGAATGGGCTGAAGAGTGACATCTCAGCAATGTTGACGAAACTCAAAGGGAGTTGACCTAATCCAAAAATACAACTCACCAAATGAGTGGGAGAACACCTTCATTGGACTAAATTGGCGGAGACAACCTTGGTCAACACATTTGTTCATTGCCACCCTCATTAACTCATACTGAACACCGGCAGAAATTTATTTAACGGTCATACCTCGACTAAAAAAATTACCTTAACGTACTCTCTTGAAACTACTAAATATTAAAGTAAGATGCCTCCAGTGCAATAATATCCTCAAGGGAAAGCAGGACAGCAGAAACGAGGCAGAAACAAATGGGCAAAGTTTCTTTCACCCTGAATGCCCCTGTTACCTAGCAGTAAATAGGTACCTGGGAGTTAGTCAGCTGTCACGGGCTGCTTCCTGGGGGTGGAGGCCTGGTCGAGGACCGGGCCGCGGGGACACTAAAGCCCCGAAATCATCTCAAGATAACCTCAAGATAACAGCAAAGATCAGCAGTATATGCATAGGCTGACAGACAGACAGCCACGAGAGAGAAAACCAACAGACACACCACTATCATGGTTAAGCAGCCCAGCCTACTAAAATTAAAGTACTTATAGTAACGATGTGGTCGATCGTACAAATGTGGACGTAACGGACCAATAGAAAGTAAACTTTTGTATTATTGAATTTGGACAAACCGTTGAGTTAATATTTATGTTGCTAATGAAATCTAACCTAACCATCCTAGGTATAATACACTAAGGCCTAATATTTATCTGATTTACCTGAGGGCCACTACCACTAGTGGCCTCGACGAGGCCAGAAAGCCGGCGGCTTGTCGAAGGTCCCTCATTTGCCTTGATAATCTTTTCCAGTTTGATATTGAAATGAGTTGTACTTTCTCCAGAGCAGCTATGTCCTAATGAGGATGGAGTCTCCATGCTTGGATACCGTAATCAAAATAGTGCCGCACCAGAGATTTATACAATTGAATCACTACCTTCCTTTCCTTAAAATCAAAAGGTACGCTTGATTATTCCAAGGGTTTGATTAGCTTTTTTGACTGCTGTTTCTACCTGCTGTGCAACTTTCAGTGAGTGATGGATTTTGACTAAGGTCCTTTCCTTCATAAATATATATAGTACATATATGTGTTTTACTATGCCTAGGAATGTTTAAGCTTGGTTTTCAGGTCTTTTTCGGGACTATAAAAATGAATAGTACCAAAATCTAGTTTCTATTTGTCTACCACGTCGATATTTGTACGATCATCCACATAGTTACAAAAGTACTATCTTATCAGGAGGATGGGTTGTGTTTTCACTACGCTTCCTCAAGCACCACCCAAGGAATAAATTGCTTTGCTGCATTGACCGAAATGCGTTAGAGGAAGCGATAATTCACATTTTAATTTGCTCTGTAGCTAAATATTTGAAAATATATCGTCTTTTAACACTAAGTTAAAATTAACGAATGCGTCTTTAGGCTCGGCCAAAAGATCGACCCTGGGAGTTAGGCAGTAAACTGCTTCCTGGGTGTGTGTGTGTGTGTGGGGAAAAAAATTAAAAATTATTTAGTTTACGAGCATAGCCTGAGGATGAGTTGGAATAAGATGGGATACCAACGGGAGAGAGGCCATGGCTGGACAAGAGGCCTCGAGGAGACGTAGGGATGCAAGGAAACATTTAATTTTGAGTGTGGTAAACCAAGTAAAAAATTTTGATGGACAAATAGTCGAGTCTAAGTCAGCTTTAATAGTCAATCCATCCTCTCAAATTGATAGAACCTATACCTACTATATGGGTGGAATGTACAAAATAGAGATGGTTTTGTCCCCAAAAAGTTCGTTTTTCCCTATTGGGATACATAACAAAAACTGGAATAGACTAATCACAAACTTAATCGTTCTAGGTCTGAATAAAGTTAGGTTTCCTTGTTGCCTTCTTTCTTGGGCCTTGTATGAAATTAATAGTACAAAGCATGGACATTTATTGGTGCAACAGTCTTTTGTACCTCCATACATAGTAACAATAGTTACTATATCTTTTAGATTTATGTGATTAACGAAAGGAAGTGTTGGAATCATCGCATCAGATGATCAACTGAAAAGGCAGGGACCCAAGTACTGAAGCTCAACCCACAGGTGCTTTAGATAGTACAGGTACAAAGCTTGATCCCCGGAACACAACTATGAAAAATTTCGAGCAGGAACATGCGTGTGAGCGACCACTTTTTTTTATTAATACATTAGGTATAGCTGCATTTGTGCAGCTACCCTAGACTATATGAAGGGGGAGTACAGTGTGTCAAAAAGCTAGCTACGTGATACTAAAAAATCCCCATCACACAGGATGGTTAGTCACTGCTACCTTATTCATTCTTGTGTTCATGATATCCTCATAACGAACCCAATCTGTCAGTGCAGACTACTTATCACATACCTCTATGTGAGCGACCACAATGTTGAGGCTGACAACAATAACAGCAGGAGGAGGCGACAAATGTGGGAGTCGGAACCCACACACGAGTCACTGCAATGTTTAGTATATGGACAGTAATTAAGTGCAATAAACTAGAAGAGGAGCAATAGATGTTACCTACATCCATAGTTTTAAAAACAAATAAGGCATGGAACGAATGGTCAAGCTTCACTACGCTACACGACCGACAGTTTGGAAAGCTTGACCCAGGAGCAGAAGTACGACCTTGCAAATTCGTTAGGCAGGAACACAAAATGTAATGCTACTGTCCCGAGCTCGCCGAAGCTACAGTTGAATCTAGACGGGCGGGGCAGATATAACACCAACATCCTGCACCCAGCACCATAATGTCATTGTCCTCTTACCTGCACTAACACAGCGGATCGCCTCTTCCTGCGCCCATCCACCGGAGTTTCGTACACCGCTCTTCACAAACGTTCCCGTCTAGCTTGGTGATATTAACTTAATTTATCACCCGTAAAGCACTACAATAAAATAACCAGCCCAGGTGCTGGTCTGCCAGCGTCCGCGTGGTTATGTTGTGAAGGAGGGGTTATATGGTAGCCTAGTGGAGAGGGGTGATTGGGAGGGCTTATGAAGGACTGTAGTAGAGAATAATCGTATAGAGGAGTTGTGGAGGATGGAGAGGGGGTGGTGGAGGATAGAGATAGAGATGGAGAGGGGTGGGGATGGGTGGTGTGACGTGTGACTGGGTTTATTGAGTGGCCCCGCCTGGGTGGACCGCTCAACTGTTGTATATGTTCGCTGATTAGTCTTTACGCACTTTGTGCTGCTCAATACGCTACCGAGACTCTGAACCCTTTCAAATACATGCATCAGGTTTGCTTTGGAGATTGAAAAGACTAAGCAAATTTATATATATCAAGATTATATATGAAAAGTTTTTTTTGTTGATTAACAAAGCAACAATCTGAATAGTTCCAACAGCGACTTTGCTAATCTATTGGGCGACAAAAATTCAAACTTCCTGTGCTGATTCGATGATTAGTCCAGAGGCCATCAAGATCTGAGACTTATAACAAACGACTACAGTATCTGGGTGAATGACACACACAACGTAGATTAGATAAGGTTAATATCTTGCTCACAGAACAGGTGTTTACCTCCACCATACATCAGCACCCATGGTAATCTTACCCCCCCCCCAACTCTTGATTGTTTCAAACGTAGGTTGGACATGTATTTGAGTGGGATTGGGTGGTAATAAATAGGAGCTGCCTCGTATGGGACAATAGGCCTTCTGCATTTACCTTTATTCATATGTTCTTAACGGCTCGCCGGTGAGATTCGATATGATTTTCTTGCCAAGATCTTTCTTCTTTTCTATAGTCTTAGTCTGATCTTCCTGTTAATTATGTCCTCCTTTCTATTTTTGTCCGCCTCATTAATTAACTAAGTATATCTGTAAACAGTACCATGACATAATCGACTTTGACTGGTAGGTCAACATAGTTACAACAGTGACCAAAGTCTGAGCCTTGTGGGACCCCATTGCGTTATCCACGTTATATTGATTGGGGAGCGCATATGAGCACATGTGTGTTGACCAGACCACACACTAGAAGTTGAAGGGACGACGACGTTTCGGTCCGTCCTGGACCATTCTCAATCGACTTTAGAATGGTCCAGGACGGACCGAAACGTCGTCGTCCCTTCAACTTCTAGTGTGTGGTCTGGTCAACATACTTCAGCCACGTTATTGTGACTCATCGCGAGCACATGTGTGTCCATTCCACTGGCGGTTTTATCCTGCCCACTCTTTCTTGCTATTAACGTTTTTTCTGTGAAGTTAAACTGGAGTCAGATTCCGGCGCTGTAAAGATATGTGGCGGATGTGGCACCTCCTTGACCAAGATGGTGTTGATGATGTTTGTTTTCTTAGCTCTTGGGTGTACCGGACGCTCCTCTAACCTTATCAGCTGGTGTGACGCCGTAAGTGCAGCCAGCGCCAGGATGCGTCGCTCCTTAAAACACAAACTAAGTTTTAATTGTTCCCTTTATCTGGAAGAACAAAACCACATTTAACTATTTTTGTTGCTGTATATGGCAAAAGGATAACGGTTATAATATGGTGTCTGAACTATACGTCAGAAACTAGATTTTTCATTCACTAAGTAGCAAAACAACTATTATTACTAACCATCGTAGCATTACAATGACAAAACAATAATAAAAGAAAGAATAATGAACATAATCTTAGCTCAGTCATGTTTATTGTAATCCACATCAGGCGGCGAGGTGTGGCGAGGTCAAGACGGAAGTGCATCAGATCCGGTGCGACCGTGCGGGGGTCTTACTGACAGTATGGTGGTGAATCACGTCTTGATGTGACGACTTATATTGAATTTTGTAACTAGCTCATCAAGATTGTAACTTGCTTAGCTAAATGAATTGTGGGGTTCAGTCCCTGAGCCCATTATGTGCCTCTGTAACCCTTTCCACTACCACCCACAAGATGGGTATGGGGTGCATAATAAATGAACTAAACTAACTAACCTTACGCATTCCTTACTCTTATGACACCCGCTCTACTGCTTATCATATGTTCCGACTTTGTAAAAACGTATACGTATTCCACCTTGAGAGGCGGAATGTGTATATGCATCATCAAACCCCGATTACAAATCCATTGAGCTGTTCACTGACTAATAGCAATATTTTTAGCATTAGTCTAATGGTTCATTCGAGTGCATAATTTCCACACCGTGTCCCGTAATTGTTTTTATACCAGCGATGCACAATAATCTTTACATCTACCTTGCCAATTCTCTTGTATGTGGTGGTCATGTCTTTCCTGTTGATAAAATAATAAAATATGGCTTATGACACGGTAACTAGGTCATTGGTACTGAATAAATACAATGGCATACATAAATATATGCAAATGAAATTAAAAATATAAGGGCATAAAAATAAGCTAAGGACAAATGTAATTTGAATATTAAATGATTTAGTTTTGTTTTAATAATTTCACTGGGGGAAAAAATGACCAGGCCCCAGCATAAGAGATAACAAGTTGTATCCTTGAAGGCTGACACTCGTGGAGGTGTTCCGTCTAACTTCCCAAATGTTGGACATTGTGTGTATATGTATGTATTAACACGATGTACTGAACAGGGTGAGAATAGCTTGAGCTACCTCATCCCTTTGTGTGTATTTTTTTTTTTTTTTTTTTTTTTTTTTTTTTTTTTTTTTTTTTGAGATATATACAAGAGTTATTACATTCTTGTACAGCCACTAGTACGCGTAGCGTTTCGGGCAAGTTCTTAATCCTATGGTCCCTGGAATACGATCCCCTGCCGCGAAGAATCGTTTTTTCATCCAAGTACACATTTTACTGTTGCGTTAAACAGAGGCTACAGTTAAGGAATTGCGCCCAGTAAATCCTCCCCGGCCAGGATACGAACCCATGACATAGCGCTCGCGGAACGCCAGGCGAGTGTCTTACCACTACACCACGGAGACTGTTTATTGATTTTACCTCAATAAACTTATTTCAATTTCAATGTTGGACACTACCAAGAAGTGCCACATACTCCAACCCATCCTCCTGTTTAGATAGTACTGTTTATAACTGTGCACCATAGTACAAACATTGACATACTAAAAAAAATTAGATAGTAGATTTTTGTACTATTCACTTTATAATCTGAAAAAAGTGAAGCTAAAAAACAAACAAATATTCCTAAGCTTAGTATAGCACACACACATGTACTATATTAGGCCTCGGATAGCGTGTATTAAGCCTAGGAAGGTTAAGATAATTTAGTTTGTCTTTGCAACATAAATAAAAAATCTTTTCCTGTCTGTCCAAATTCAAGATGTCCAATTTCTACTTTCTAATTGCAATGAACGTCAGTATATGTACTATGGTTCTCATCGTCGCTGTGAATACTGTACTACCTCAGATTACACAAAACTGTAATTAATTTTTGTCAATAAAATGTTATAACTACCAAAACAGGAGGATGGGCTGCATACTCAAGGAAGCACTATAATCATTATAGCTTAGAGCAGTCAGCAGGTTTCTGCACACACGAGTATGGCCTATACATAAATGACCTGCTACCACAATTTCCAAATATATCCAACATTCAACAGTGCTGTAAAAAAATTAGGGTAACTGACCCAATTTCCAGAGAAAGCACCAATGGAAGGGAACATCTTGAAGAAACCAATATGGCAGTTGCACATTTGGCTTTACACTGGCATTTGGCAGTGGCACATTTGTCAGTTTACTCTTTGCCTCTCCAACCACTTGGGTTGGACAGCAGAGTGACGGTCTTGCCTCTTGCAGGTTGGTATTCAATCTCCGACTGTCCATGTGGTTAGACACCATTCCTTTCCTACATCTTATACCAAATCCTTATTCTCACCCCTTCCAAGTGCTCAATGGTCATAAAGGCTTAGTACTTTCCTCCGATAATCACCTTTTACCTTTCAATTACTTCTGGAGTATGCACATCACCTAGAGAAGCAAAAAAAAAAAAAAGACAATTTGAAAATTTCAGAAAACTGCTATGAAATTATTACCATAAGATATATAAACAGGGCTAAGAGAATCCAATCTAATGATACTAACCCTAGAAGTGAAAACAAGACAAGGGAGCATGGGTTGAAGTTAAAAATACAAATCAGCCAGAGATGTAAGAAAATATTTGTATGCCGTTAAGGGTGGTAAACAAGTTGAATGAACTTGAAGTTGTGATGGAAGTTACCTTAAGTCACAGCTTCACAATAGAGAATGGTATTGAATACATGTACCACAAAATATTGACTACAATGTAAAGAAACACCAAGATGAAAGTAAACATTAATTGTAAATTACATTTTGCCTATTAAGGGCTCTTATCAATTTAACAATTACTCAAGGGGCTAGTAAATGTTGGCAATTAAAGCATGTGATCTCCATTTCTCCTGTTTAGCTAAAGAATTACCCTGCAGATCATAGTACTTTTTATTCCAATTTTGTTTAAAAAAAAAGTCCTTTGTTTGTCAGTGTCAGTGCTGCATCTTCCAAGCTGCATGGTTACAGCAATTACAGTTAACAGAGTAGGTACAGACTGAGTTTCCCCAAGGAATGAACTTTCTCATGTTGTGGGAAGCATACAATGTGATGAAGAGGGCAGCAACAAGTAAGATAACAGTAGTTGAAAGAGAAGGGATCGATAGACAGGAAGGCGTAAACGGATTAAATCCAAAAGTGGTAGAGACTTTCAAAATGCTATCAAGTAAACAGGGGAGGGAAAGAAAAAGAATTGAGGGATAATAAATTTTGAAAATGTTTGCTGTCATGGAAATCACCAGACCCACCAATCCAGGTTCAGTAAATAGAAGTTCAGAGAAAGTTCAATACAGTACAGAAAAAAAGTGCCAGTGTGAGAGTAAATGTGAGTCGGTTCACTTAAAATCACTCAGAAGACAAGATAAAATGAAGACTGTGTACCAGTTATACATGAAAAGGCAAGTGGAAGTGGAATGGATATTTGAGAGAAAAGTAAGAAGATGAAAGGAAACAACATTTAAGGTTAAGAAAGCTGTGAAGCAAGGATTATCATTAATAGGAAAAGGTGATGTTGAAAGGGTATATCTATAGACAAGTACCAAATATAGATTGCTGGAGACAGACAACAGAGAAAACTTGGATATTAGGGTTCGGAACATATTCACTACACAGGCAGAGCGCGGCACGGATCAGTGAGTAACAGGAAGGTACTGATAGCCTCGCCTGTCCCCATAAAGTATTATTGGAAATATTACGCAAACTTTTATCCTTTTATTTTGTATGTTGATGTTAGTCACGGCTTCAGCCACATCCGGTGTATGTGTGTGCACTCACCTAGTTGTGCTGGCGGGGGTTGAGCTCATGCTCTTTGGTCCCGCCTATCAACTGGAGAGGTAGGTGTGTGTGTGTGTCCTGGGGTTGAGCTTCAGCTTTTGGGTCTTCATTTCTCAACCTTCATTTAACATGTGTACATAGGTTCCCGAGTACTTTGTGCTGTTATATCTACATTTGAACTCGTGTGTATGGAGTCTGCCTCCATTCCTTCCTTCCCTCCATTCATTTACTAAGATACACTAAGCAGTTCTGACTTTGCTACATTCGGGCGAGTACTTAGTCTTTTCTGTGTTAATCAATATTGAAAGTTTCATCAAACAGTTCTACCATTTAAATTGTAATAAATAGAAAATAAATGAAATGAAATATGTAACCTGTTCTCTTAAAAATAACGTAGCTTTTGGCCGTTTGCCCGTATGGCCGAAAGTGGACGTAATTTGAAAATTAAAAAAAAATTAAAATAAATTTGGGATTTTGTGAGTCGATTTCATTTCAAATTACGTCCACTTTTGGCCATAGCGCGCATACGAGCGAAAAGCGACGTTATTTTTAAGAGGACGGGTTGCACGATAAACTGAGAGGCAGGATTAACCGGATAAATAATTATGGGACCGGGCAATCTTGGATAAGATAAGGAAGGGTGGTGCAAATTAATAAGACAATCTAATGTATTCCGAGCTGATCTAATGTCCTCCCAACAAACACTTCGAATCCACAACGTTTTTTTATTTGTTAGTTGGAAACAACGTAATAATAACGTTACTTCAACAATGCTTGGTAGACTGTGACGGGCTGGGAGGGGGAGGGGGAGCTGGCCCAGGACACATCCCATCAGGGACTACAAGATAGGTAGACCCGGGACTAGGTCAGCCCTACCCTGGTCGCCCTTACCTCCCCCCCCCCCCACGCTCTCTCTCTCTCTCTCTCTCTCTCTCTCTCTCTCTCTCTCTCTCTCTCTCTCTCTCTCTCTCTCTCTCTCTCTCTCTCTCTCTCTCTCTCTCTCTCTCACCAGTTGATTGACAGTTGAGAGGCGAAACCAAAGAGCCAAAGCTCAACCCCCGCAAGCACAAATAGGTGAGTACACACAGACCTTGACCTACGCCGTTAACCACAGTAGGACACTACCCACCACACCCATCCAGTACTCGTCACACCTCACCAACCCACAATGGCCACACACCATCCACTACCTACCACAGCCCTCTACTACCCATCACATCCATCCAGTACCCACCACAACATATCACAGGCCACCCACTAGAGCTCACCCACTTCCCCACTAGAACCCATTCACTTCCCACCACAACCTTTTCACTGACCACCACAGGTCTCCACCTGCTCTTGTACCTTAATATAAATGTTGCACTCTCTCCAGCACTGCTAGTTATCCTCCTCGCCGCTGACCCCACCACTGATACCACCACTGACCCCACTACCACTGACCCCCCACTGACCCCACCACGGACCCCCGCCCTCCCAACACTGACACCAATTACATCAGCAAATTGTATCGTCCCCTTCCATCACTACCTGCGTCACTGTCAGCTCCAGTACAGTCTGAAGTGAAGGCAGCTCCAGTACAGTCTGAAGTGAAGGCAGCTCCAGTACAGTCTAAAGGGAAGGCAGCTCCAGTACAGCCTGAAGGGAAGGCAGCTCCAGTACAGTCTGAAGTGAAGGCAGCTCCAGTACAGCCTGAAGGGAAGGCAGCTCCAGTACAGTCTGAAGTGAAGACAGCTCCAGTACAGTCTGAAGTGAAGGCAGCTCCAGTACAGTCTGAAGTGAAGGCAGCTCCAGTACAGCCTGAAGGGAAGGCAGCTCCAGTACAGTCTGAAGTGAAGGCAGCTCCAGTACAGCCTGAAGGGAAGGCAGCTCCAGTACAGTCTGAAGGGAAGGCAGCTCCAGTACAGCCTGAAGGGAAGGCAGCTCCAGTACAGTCTGAAGGGAAGGCAGCTCCAGTACAGCCTGAAGTGAAGGCAGCTCCAGTACAGCCTGAAGGGAAGGCAGCTCTAGTAGAGTCTGAAGGGAAGGCAGCTCCATAGAATTATGTAAGAAAATTATATAGTGGGGTTCACATCACCCAAATTGTCTTACCAGAAAACGATCAATACAAAAGCGACCAATATAAGAACACACACACACACACACACACACACACACACACACACACACACACACACACACACACACACACACACACACACACACACACACACACACACACCCAAAGGAACCAAAGAACCTTGGGACCAAAGAGCCAAAGCTCAACCCCCGCAAGCACAATTAGGTGAGTACACACACACACACACACACACACACACACACACACACACACACACACACACACACACACACACACACACAACACTGTATAAAGGCTACATGTCCTTGACTGTAATGAAGGCTTAACCATGGCTGGTGTCTCCCATTCAAGATGGAGGAGCCATCATCATTACCTTCACATCGGCACCACAGCGCTAGGCACAAAGAAGAGCACAAATGAGCATCGCGGTAGACTTTCTGTGCCGCGCCACACACCCATGTTTTCTCTACACCGCCATCCACCTAGATTATATATTTATATATAGACGAGGCTGCCTTTCCGCGACAAAACTAATCCAAAAGTACTTTTGACTCCTGTTTGCAGCTACAGAGTTGTTCATTTTTTTTTTATCTTAGGCCTGCTAGTTTCCCCTGCAACATAACCCAGCAATTGGTTTACAGCCAGGTCTTCAAATCCTACTGGGTGAACAGGGGTGACTTGTTAAGGATTAGTGCCCAGTTGACCTTGTCCGTGGCTCGAACCCTGCCGGAATGGCTCCAGAGGCGGGAAGCCAGTCCGTATCTATTGGAAGCTGTTGTGTTTGCAGAAAAGGAATAGAAGAATCTCACTAGTTGAACCCAGCCTTTTGTGTTTGTGATTTGCCATTTTTCTATAAATATGACAAAATTCTTGCGAATTTCTGTTCCTAGCTCTCCATATGTAAATTAAAACCAAGCTAATGATATCTTTTGTAGTCAGACTGGTACCTAATAGGCCTGGTGGTGGAGGTGGTTTGAACAGTGGTAAAGAGGGTATGGGGCGGGTGGGGGCATATAAGGGCATACAGCCCCTGCTCTCTCGTGTCTAGTACCGCTCATAGTTTGTTGATCAGTTTACCTCCCCATTCGTGTGTTTCCTGTAGCACAGTGGTCTTGTTCCCGTCTCAGATGCCAGAGATCAGGATTCAATCTCCGAGTGGGACAAAAAACAGTTGTATACGTGTTCCTTTACCTGGTGCCTCTGTTCACTTAATAGTAAATAGGTACACGGAAGTTAGGCGAAAGTTGGGTATTGAATTCTAGGATAAGGTCAGTAGTTGGTCTTTGGAGGAGTTAAGAGGGTGAGGGACATCAGGAAGCCTAGGTACAAAGATTTTATCCCAGACAACGTGACGGATAACTGACAAATTACGTTAAGTTTTGCCACGCCTTCATTTGCATGATAAATGATCTAAACTAAAACTTCTTAGGCTGCCAGAGTCTCGTAAAATCTGCTTGTCGTTTGTATTTGCATCTCTTGGTGATTTTTGTACAAAATAATCCCATTTGTAGTCATTAGTGTTGGGTGAGCTCCCTGCGTCGTTGTTGACATTCCTGCGGCATTGTCGTGTGTGGTGCTGCCCCCTGGCTCCTGCTGGCTCCTGCTGGCTCCTGCTGGCTCCTGCTGGTTCCTGCTGGCTCCTGCTGGCTCCTGCTGGCTCCGGCTGGCTCCTGCTGGCTCCTGCTGGTTCCTGCTGGCTCCTGCTGGCTCCGGCTGGCTCCTGCTGGTTCCTGCTGGAGCCGAGCACAGCTGACACAGCTGCACGCTCTCCTCCATCCCTCCCACACACAGCTATACCCGTCCAACCTCTTACACACACACACATGGTGCCTGGTGAACAGCATGCAGGACTCGTAATTCTGTGGCGCGGGTTCGATTCCCGCACCAGGCAAATGGGCAAAGTTTCTTTCACCCTGAATGCCTCTGTTACCTAGCAGTAAATAGGTACCTGGGAGTTAGTCAGCTGTCACGGGCTGCTTCCTGGGGTGTGTGTGTGTGATGTGGAAAAAAGTAGTTAGTAAACAGTTGATTGACATTTGAGAGGCGGGCCGAAAGAGCAGAGCTCAACCCCCGCAAGCACAACTAGGTGAATACACACACAGGGGGCGCACGCGCGCAGCAGATAAACACATTGACCGGGGTATAAATATGAAGGTAAACAAACTAAGAGGAAAAGTGGCGTGGCCCTCGCCTGAAGCCGGACTAGGGGGGCACCCCTTCTCACCCTTGTTCCTCCCAGCTGACACCCTTCCCCCTTCACCTGGCACCGTTCCCATTCCACCCGACACCCTTATACACCTCTCTCCGTATACCTGGCAAAACCTTCCCATACTTGACACTTCTGACACGTCCACCGCTCGCCACATGTGACCCATTTTAACTTTTCGTGTTGGTGACCCCTCATGAACTTACCTGTGACCTCACACACAACGCTGGGGGAGTAGAAATAGCCTAAGCTATTTCTCTCCCTCTGAGATGTATTTTCTTGTCCCAATAAACATACTTGAACACACAACGCCCAGAGTCAGGCCAGACCACAGGGAACCTCTGCACGACCATACACCAGGATTCACGAGGATCAGAGTTTCTGCTGACAACAGTGGTAGGCCTTAGAGAGGCCTAAGGTAAGGGGGGGGGGATGTAAAGTTTAGGGCAACTGACTCTTTAGCGTGAGCAGGACCAAGCTGCAACATGGCCGTCTCACTCTGACGATGTATATACGGTGGTAATCGCTGTCATTACTTCTCACCAAGACCTCCCCTAAGCTCACCACAGCTTCAGTAGGTCAGATATGTTATTTATAACCTCACCAACACTGCACAGTTGCTGCCCTGGATGATGGAAAGGTTAATTTAGATTAAGATGTCACACTAGGAGGGTAGAAATAGCCTAAGCTACTCTATCCCTTGAAAATGAAATAAGTTTATTGAGGTAAAATACACACACAAAGGGATGAGGTAGCTCAAGCTATTCTCACTCGTACAAATACAAATACAAATATTTATTCAGGTAAAGTACATACATATACAAGGTGGAATACAAAGTTGATGGATACATAGATAGGGCTAGTACATATAAAGCCTAAAGCCACTATTACGCAAAGCGTTTCGGGCAGTAACTAGGCTGTTTTTCACCATACTTTAACACTAAGCTGGTATTGTGAGCTGTGTTTGTTTGTCTTGTGGTTGACTACTTGCGTGTGGTGGTGAGGAGTCGTCACAGCCCGTCAACACAGCCACACCTCTCCATCATGGCTGATACCTGAGCTCTCTACCACATGTAAAGCTATACACTCGCCCCACATAGTTTGTTATTGCTCATTTTGTCTCACCATCCAGACTGTCTTTTCCCCCATTATAATCCTCTCTTTATTTGTTTGTGGTTCTTATTTTGTAAAGTATTTATCTATAATCTTGTACCAACAATTATTTATAATGCAAATAATAGCTATTGATATACGGAGGACAAATTTGATAAAGCCTGTTGGCTTTTCTTGACTATAATCTGGCACATTACGTGAAGTACGTAAAGTACGCAAGTACGCAAGTACGTAAAGTACGCAAGTACGTAAAACTCATAAAACACATCCATATGAAATAAATATAATGAGTAAGATAGTACTCAGCAGCTGGTGTCACACGTAACTGGAGACAATAAGACAGTTGACGTTGCCAGTCTTGCCTGGCTCCGGTCCTCATCTCAAGTGCTTGAGTTATAAGGAACTTCACGGTGTCACGCCCAAACAGCCTAGCATCATCAATTTACCTTAAACCCAGAGATAAAAAAAAAACTCCCATAACACTGAGTGAATAAGTCTCTCCCATAACACTGAATGAATAAGTCTCTCCCATAACACTGAGTTAATCACCTCATTCATTAACAAACGCTCAAGAGGGTTTAGGCTCTAGACTGAATAACAACAACTGCACCCCACCCTCGCTCACCACCACCACCACCACTCTGCACATTGAATAATGATTAAATACTAATGTTAACTCAGGCGCTGCTTGCAGGCTCAAGCGATGTGCACAGAGTTGATCAGTTAATGACCTAATGTCGCTATAGTGACTATAGCCTCCTAAATACTCACAAAGAGATATTCTCGACAGATCATCTGGCAACACGTGGGGTCTATCCTTGTCGTTACCACTAGCTAGGCATCTGAATCATCCATGTCCTTGCCGATTCAACATTCCACAAATCAATTTACCTTGTGTCTTCGTTCTAGTGTTGTGTTCCTTCTTTCCTTTGCTCCTCTGTCCGGGTAAGAATGCTTTCCTGCCAATCACCAGGTAACCACAAATGTGGTGACTGCTGCTACTTGAGATTCTTGTGTTGAGAGGCATTCATCACGTCAACCCGTTCCTTTTCCTCTTGATGAATAGGAGTTGAATGAGTCACACGTCGCTTGATACACTTAACACACGACAGCTTTCGCAGATGAGACACCGGTGTCACACTCCTCTTGGTTGCTAAATATGTTTGGGAAAGACGACCTTGACTCGTATGTCAGTCACTGTCACTCAGTGAGACTGGGATGACGGCTTCCCCGCCCCTTCCTCTCATGATGTATCTCTTTGACTGGGATACTGTTTATGGAATACTAGGATACTTTGGCTGGGCAATACTCATTGACTAAGCCTTCGGGATCCTCTGTGACTAGTTAGGAACCATGGCATTCTCGCCCTTTACCCAGAAATATCCTGTCTACCTGACACTAGACTCCCCAACTTTTAATATAACGAAGCAGCATATTACAGCTATTCAAACGCAAGTAGAAATGCATAACGCGATTACAACCATCAATTAGCAAATGAGCGCAGTTTACACGCAGGAGCGGCCAGGCTACACGGACCTGGCAGGTGGCAGGATGTCCCAGTTCCTTGACACTTGTCAAGTCCCGGCCTTCCTTCCCTCACCTGACACCCTTTCTAAATCCCACCTAGCATTCTTCCCCTCCCACCTGAAACCTTCTCCACCCCCCTTCTCCAGATGAACCCCTCTCCCCTCTCCCAGCTGAACCCTCTCCTCTTCCATCCTGTGTTCACCCGGACCCCTGCCTGCCCCATCTCCCAGCCTGCAGACTGCCGTTTAAAAATATCCACACCGACCTCTGTCCCTAGGAGAGTGGAGAGGAGGGGGGAGTATATCCAGAAAGAGAGGAAGAGGTTTAGAGTTTGTAGAGAGAGATACGGGAGGGAAGATAGAAGTGAGTGAGAGAGAGGAGTGTGGTACAGAGTTGGAGTGAAGACCGGGAGGTCGGCGCTGGGATCAAAGCAGTTTAATATCAGTACAAAAAAAAAGAGACGCACAGAACTTCCCCCCCCCCACGCCCTCCCTACCACACACACACACACACACACACACACACACACACACACACACACACAGAGGGAGGGGTGGGAGCCGGCCAGCCGAGCCGACAGCACGCTGGGCACGTGATCCTGCGGTCCTGGGTTCAATCCCGGGCGCCGGTGAGAAACTATGGCCAGTTTCTTTCACCTTATGCCCCTGTTACCTAGCAGTAAATAGGTACCTGGAAGTTAGTCAGCTGTCACGGGCTGCTTCCTGGGGTGTGTGTCTGTGTGTGGAAAAAAGTAGTAGTCGTAGAAACAGTTGAGAGGCGGGCCGAAAGAGCAGAGCTCAACCCCCGGAAGCACAACTAGGTGAATAACACACACACACACACACACATACACACCTGACACATCAGTGGAACACGTGTGTGCTACTTACTGACGCTCACAATACCTACACATGGAAACCCCACTTTTACACAATACTGTTCATCATCAACTCACAGTCGAGGTACCCGGGATCAACCCCCTTTGGCAGGACAGAAATGGTTGAGTACGTTTCCTTTCACCTAACCCATCTGTTCACCTAGGTGGGGGGGATACCTGAATAAACCTAAGTATTGGCTTCCTGTCCTCAAACAACTGCAGCAAGTGAGTCAGCTAAGATATGTACACGCCTCCTGACGGCTTATAATGACGGTAACCATACGAAGCACATCATTATATTCAAACTTGTAATGATATGTGATTATGTGTGTTGAAGGTGAAGATCTTGCCTGGCACCAGGGGACTAATCGAAGGCTCTTTGCTCTCTAACGATCTTCAGGTGACATGCAGTATGTGGGAGTGTGGGGCCCACAGTGCCCATGTGGGAGTGTGGGGCCCACAGTGGGAGTGTGGGGCCCACAGTGCCCATGTGGGAGTGTGGGACCCACAGTGCCCTTGTGGGAGTGTAGGCCCACAGATATGCACACTGACTGCATGACAGGTACAGATAGAGGCAGACATTGGGTAGACATACTGAGACAGATACAAATATAAAGACAGGGACCTAGTATCCCGTCTAGTGCCCACGTGCCCAATTATTTCTGATCTGGCCGGGGATCACTTGTTGTAGAGTTCCTTCACTAGATAAACTTTTCTGGCATGTGTGGCACATTTATTTTGTTTGTTCTTGGAGTGGCAGTGTCCCTTGGAGTGACACGACGGAGGGACACGACGGAAGGACACGACAGAGGGACACGACAGAGTGAAATAAAAGAAATTTGTTTCTTGGAGCGGCAGTGTTGATGCAGTAGTCAGACGCGCAGTTTCCGGGCCCGAGGCTTGAATGTAATTTTTGTTTTTTTCTCTAAATGGGAATTTCCACTTGACAACACTTACCTGTCTTCCTCTGGCTCCGGTGATGTGTGTATAAGCGGTGTATGTCTCCGTGAGTATCGTAGTCATATACAACTTGTATGATGTAAAGATGCTTGTATTATCTTTTTGTTAGGCTACTGCTTTCGCCCACCCCCCCCCCCCCCATCAACCCATCCCAAATCCTTATCCTGAACCCTTCCAAGTGCTATATAGTCGTAACGGCTTGACGCATTCCCCTGATAATTCACTTCCCTTCCGTTGAGGATTTACAAACGCCAACTGAAACGTTTAATGGGAAATGTTGACGGGTGAGGGGCAGGAAACATGAGGCAACTCCGCTAATTCCGGTTTCCGCCCCAGAAGCAGTCCTCGTCCGGCAGTGTAGGCTTGTCGTAACTTGGTATTCTGTAGTGGTGTTGAGCACCGGTCCGCGCCCCGTAATCCAGTTATCTTTGGAGCTGTGTTGAGCACGAGATCACACTGAGTAATCCGGTTACGGGGGGTGTCTTAGAGCTACCTTGAGCGAGGGAATGCACAGTAATCCGGTTATTGGGGGAGTGTCTTGGAGCAGTGTTGAGCATGGGAAGGAGAACACCCAGTAATGGAGCTGCTAGTGCATCGTCGTTATTAATCCAGCACGGATTACCTGCATGACCACGGGAGACATCTCCCGTCACGCAGAGTGCAGTCGCACCTCCACAGATCTCCAGTATCATCTATTGATACTGGTAATGGCTCAAAAGGGCCACCACTTACGGGCTATTCATGCCCGTGCCACCTTTTGGGTGGCTTAATCTTCATCATCATCATCACCTGCTTGACCAGTTACAGCCTAGCTCCTGTGCCAGGGAAGTCAACTACGGGCTCACCATAGCCCATGCTACTTTGGAACGTTTTGTTCCGAGTAGCTTAATCTAAAACAACAACCTGCTTGACCTGAGGCTGTAGAAGCTCACAAGGGGGGGGGGCCTAACGCAGAGTTTGTGCCTGCTATCATATGACGTCAGAGGGCAGCGGTAGGGGTGGGAGAAGTGGCTGAGGAAGAAATAGCAGAGCCATCAATTAGAGTTGAGATAACGAGTTGTAACTACAGCAGACCGCAAGATATCGGAAGTATGAGATAACTACCCAATGACCATCACGAGACAAACAAACTACCGGCCACGATAGCCACTCGGTCCATGAACCTCTTTCCTAATACCTCGGATTTTTTTTTTTTTTTTTTTTTTTTTTTTTTTTTTTTTTTTTTTTTTTACAAAATCGGCCAGGCCGTTAAAACTGCGATGTTTTATTAAGAGCATTAAAGCGCCGTAATTTTGACGTTCTCTATGTGTCGGCCTCCAATAGGTTAGGTACCTATTTACTGCTAGGTGAACAGAGGCATCAGGTGAAGAGGAACCGTGACTATACGTCTCCATCCTATTAACAATTAGTAGGGCCAGCCAGAGCCTTATTAAGACCTGCGCAGTAATATCCCTTTCAAAAACAGTCTCCGTTTTGCTCGAGCATCGAACCCGGGACCTTGCAGTTGTGAAACGACCGGCCCTGAGGTACACCAGAGCAAGGGGTGGGGGGGGGGCGCCCCTGACTGTGGGTTGGGAGGACACAAGGGTTAGGGATGTTGTTGTTGTTTAAGATTCAGCTACTGGGAACAAAAAGTTCCAAGAAGTATGGGCTATGGTGAGCCCGTAGTGCATTTACCTGGCACAGGAGCGGGGTTGTAACTATGGGTTAGTGACGATTTAAGCCGAATTCTGAAACTTCAGATTAAGAGAACAGGAATCAGAATTCAAACAATTGACAGAACAAAGCAAATATATCATTTTACACACTAAGAATATTCCATAACCTTGACACAAACACACACACAAGCCTATACAAAAGCTCTTGTATAAGCTCTCCCCCACATCCAGAATGCCTTCAAATACAGCCACATACCTCGAAGAAACCCGCCATGTGGCCCCAAACAAGGCAGTTAAGAGCGGCAAAACACTCCCCGCCATATGACCAGACAATTCACGGGCTGAACACAGTTGCTGCTGTAGTATAAACCGACCTTCACACTACAATAACAAGCCTCTATGGTGTGTGGAATACGACCGAATTTTTAGAGAAACCCCAATACTAAAATAATATTTTGCCAATAAGAGACGCCTCACTCCTATGGTTGGCGGACCATAAGCCTGCTTGGATCTACTCGAGGCCAAATTTAAGTCCAACAATACAATAATTCCAAGTTTGTGTACGATTCAGTTTCTTTCCTTATTATGCTCCCTATACCCCATCCCGTTGGGCGGTGGTGGATAGGGGTTCCAGAGGCACATGATGGCTCCCACACCCACACACACCAGGTGTGTATGTGCGTGTGCGTGTGTGTGTGTGTGTGTGTGTGTGTGTGTGTGTGTGTGTGTGTGTGTGTGTGTGTGTGTGTGTGTGTGTGTGTGTGTGTGTGTGTGTGTGTGCAGCCCTATCTCGCACCACGAAATAGGACCGGAGTCATTGCTGTAAATAACCGATGACTCGAAAGGCGGGATTCAAGAGTCAATGCTCGATCCTGCAGGCACAAATAGGTGAGTACAGATACGTGAGTATACACACACACACACACACACACACACACACACACACACACACACACACACACACACACACACACACAACACACAGCGTGTCAGTAAGGCGAACAGCCAGCCCGTTATCATAACTCGCACCACGAAGGATCGTCGGGAGGAACTAGGGAGGAAGATCCTCGGGACGAACTAGGAAGGAGGATCGTCAGGAGGAACTAGGGAGGAAGATCGTCAGGAGGAACTAGGGAGGAAGATCGTCAGGAGGAACTAGGGAGGAAGATCGTCTTGACGAACTAGGAAGGAGGATCGTCAGGAGGAACTAGGGGAAGAGGATCGTCGGGAGGAAGGAGGCGCACATCCGCATGCCAGCTGGCGGCTCCACCAGTCGATGTAACCCACGATCACCCCGGCCAGGAGGAGGAGGAGGTCGCAGTATCCGCTCCTTGATCAATATAATCCCTTACGTCAGTCATAACTTTCAACTTACATTTCTATTTAAAACTTGCTACCGAAGCAATTGTAGGAGTTGATATTAGTTGTTATAATACAGCCTTTAATTATTGAATTGGTTGACTGAATGATGTCACAAGTGCCGTAAGAAACTATTGGGTTTATTTTATAATTTTGCAACTTGGCTTCACGGAAAAACCTTATCAGCACTATTTTGCGTAATAAGCAGATTCCTGCAACGTAAACAGATGATGAAAAGGCGTTTCCAGCGTTCCTCTTGAACCTGGATATGATTAAATGTTTACAGAGATAATATGAAGATGAGCAGTGATTGCGTGTCTATTGGGCAGGTCCTGGTCTGCCAGCCTGTTGCTATGGTTGAGAGTGGAGAGAGACCCCGGGGCGGTGGTCACGTCTCCACCACCACACAACCACCACACGGCCACCACCACCACCACACGGCCACCACACAACCACCACCGTCATCTCAACCTAGTTCCACACCCTCGTTACTTGACGCTCACCAGCATATGGCACAGACCATGTAGCCTCAGTACGCTCTACAGACACAACTTGTTGGTTGTCCGCCGTTATTAACATGTTTACATTTCTTTGGGCGTTCATTACGTCAAGTTGGAAAATAATTTGTGCTAAAAGGATGATTTTAGTCATTTATTATGCACCCCATACCCATCTAGTGAGCGGTGGTGGGAAAAGGTTACAGAAGCACATAATGCAGCCCGTCCTCTCCAGTTGCCATCACAGAAACGTCACAAACATCACATCACAAACAACGTCACAGAAATGATGTGTTAAATTGCCCAAACCTAACCTAGACCGAGGACCCACGAATAGAAAACGGGAGAGGCCGTCAATTTAGCGAGCCACTATGATTTCTAGTACAACATATTTTGGCTGTTGAGGATCTATAAGTCAAAATGTTATATACTATCCGAGATGACACTGAACTCATTAATTCATTTAGTTAAGCAAATAATAATAATGATGAGGTAATTACAATTTTTTTTGTATATACGTTAGTTTAGTTCATTTATTATGCACCCCATACCCATCTTGTGGGCGGTAGTGGAAAGGGTTACAAAGGCACATAATGGGCTCAGGGACTGAACCCCACAATTCATTTAGCTAAGCAAGTTACAATCATGATGAGTGTATATCAATAATCTTTCACAGCACAATTGGTTCAAGAACTGGACTAGAATAGTTTCTAAATCGAGCAGTTTGCATCTGTGGCCGACCAATTACATATTCACCCATCATGCACCACACTGCCGTCCAGTAGGTCGGAGTGGAGAGTTTAGTCACCTGCATGAACTACCAAGGTACCTTGAGGTAAGCAAACACTCGATATTTGCTTAAGATTTCTGGTAGTTCATCACCTGCGTTGTTTTGATGTTTTAAGGAAAAGGAAGTGATAATGGGCCGGATTGACCATTAAGGGACTTGAATACTGAACTGGGTCCGAGTATGGTGACATTAATTAATTTTTTTTATTAATTTCAAATGTTATTTAGGATGAAGTAGCCTAGTATTGTTGGTATTCGATAATAGTGTCAACATTAGGCTATCAGTAAACATTACGGTGCGAGGGAACAATTATGTACACTAACAATCTTCACATATTCAAAGTAACATCTCCTTTAATGATGACTAATGCAATTATCGTAGAGTATCTGCGATATTTTGCATAGAACAGGGCCTTGTAAACTGTTATGATATGTATATATAAATGCAGTTTCAAATATTACGTCATTAAAATATCAAACCATCCTAAAAAATGTATAGATAAAAATTGCCTGGCGTTAGATATATAATGCTAATCCACAGGGAGTGGGGAAGCTAAAGGTCATCAGGGCTATGACGTCACCGCCGACCCCACACTAAGAGCGTAGTTGCCATTGGGTACTTTTATGGGTGTGTAGCCAACCACTGAGCGCTCCTGACGTGAAAACCATTAGTTTATGTGAAAATAGGTAGCAAGTTTCGTTGATAACGTTGTTTAATGAGATTACTACCGAATTTGACACTGTTTATACTGCAACTTGAGTCTGATGACCAAGCTGAGCGACTAGTTTACAGGTTAGTTGATCACTGGTTCCCAAATACAAGTACTAGGCTTGGTATGGCTTTACTGTGATAAATTATCCACATGACATATTGTAAAGCAGACGGGGGGAGTATTTTGTTGACGTGACTGTGCAAAAAATATAGTACAGTCTTAGGACTGAAGGGGAAAGTGAGGCTATCGCAGGTTTAAGTTCATTCAGTTATATTGTGGGTGAGAGTGGCAGGGGCAGGAGGGAGACGCCTGCGCAGTAAGTGTCCGGTGTGGGGGGGAGGGGGGTATTTCCCGTCATGTACTAGAGCGGGCAGGATATGTCAGTAGTCACATATCACTTGTCCAGCGAGGGAGCAGCGTCCGGCAACCGCAGGTACACTACAGAAGGGTCACTGATAAGCGATACCGCGGCCTCTGGGAGCGGGAGTAGCGAGAGCGCCAGTCAGTTGCTGGTGGTTTGTGGTGGTGAGAGGCCGCTGTGCTAGAGATCGACCGCAGCTGCGACTGCTGCTGCTGCTGCTGCTGCTGGGATATCGACGGGTCAATGTGTCAGCTGGAGGAGAGCGGGAGTCTCCCAGTATTCAGGTGAGGCGAGAGATTAGTAGCCCACCATGTGACACGCCTTGACTAGATGTGCCTGCTGCCAGTGTTAAAGTCACTCTCAAGGCAACCTGTGATATAAAGGCTAGGGACCCTCTGAACTTTCTCTGCCAGTAACACACTCCTCCCCGGTGATACTATACCACATCCCTGACCGGGACCCCACCCATGGCCTTCCCCATGACTCCTTGAACCCCCCATTCAAAAGCTTTTTAGAAATGGTGCGAATTTTAACCCCATAGATGGATTAAGATTCGTGTGTGTCGCATGTCTGGCCTCTCTACTCTCTAACACTCTCTATCTCCCACCCAGTGTGTGATCAGCTAGCCTCACCGACGTCCACTGTCACCTAGACTACTGGCCCCCTTAAACATTGAAGGACACTTTGTATTGTGCTTGTGTGATTAAACAGTCGTCACCATGGGAGATGTCAAGCTCGTCACTTTGCTGGACATTGCTAAGGTAAGGACACTATTCAGTTTTGATGCTCTCGTGGCCAGACAGGTGGAAGGGATCATCTGACGAGGTTACCGGGGCCGTGTGGCTATAGTGGACATCCCTTGGCCGGGATTGTTGGGTGGGTGGGGTAGGGGGTGACCTGAGGCTAGAGAACATCCCTTGTATGGGTTAATGGGGAGGGGGGGGGGTTTACCTGAGGTTAGATTAGACATCTCTTGCGTGGATTACCGCCGTGACCTGTAAATAATCCTTTGAGCGCGCCATCCTGTTTAGCTGTGTTCTTGGCCTCGTTCTTTCAATGTACGTGGAAAGCATACTAATAAGTTTAGTATATACACCATATGTGTTAATCATGGTATATTTTGTGCACACGATTGTCTGTTTCGTTTTATAATATACGTAAAAAGTTGCCATTTACCGATTCCATTAAATTACACCATAATTATATTATTGCCGAATTATAGTAATTGAGAATCCTGGATATCGTTTTAAACTGGTTCTCCCGATGGTGACCCACATGTGTAGACCAAGTGAGTGTTAAACAAGCTGGCCTTGACGCTGCCTTAAAGCCGATCTCTCCATACCCAAAAACGCCCTTGAACACCTGGGTTGTCAAGGCATAGTGTGGCGTCACAGTCCTCACGTGATTTACCACTTAGTGTGTGTGAGGAAATCCTTCCTCCCCCCCCCCTCCCAATTCCCCCACCATGTAAGGTATCCCCACTGATGTAGTTGTTTCTATCTCCAGCCTTCACGTGCTTCACTGGACTGAGATTTGGTCACCATCCACTAATGACTGCAGCTGATTAGTGTTCTCATTCCTTTAGCCTCTCGTTAGCATTAAGGAGAATGGTATTATAGTTGTTGAGTATTTGCAGAGAACATTAATATCATTTACGTTGCAGTGACCTTAGATACTATCATTGGAAGGCCAGATTTGTTTGGACACACTGTAACTGACAGAAGGCCGTATTTACTCTAGTTCTTTGGAATTTGATTTAAATCGCTTGTATAAACTGTGTATTATATACATTGCAGTGACTACTAGTATCTTGCGTTCCGAAAGATTACATTGCATTTTAAATGTTACAAGGCATATTTATTAAGTGGTAAAAATATGTAAAAGTAAACGTCCAAGGAAATTTATTAAAAGGTCTCGGTACAGACTAAAATGGTGATACTAAACTAAATTCAGTTGTGCGTCTTTATCCAGGTAGGACCTTTTATACCACCCAGGCACGCCCTTACTGACACACACACGACCCCGTTCCCCCCCCCTTTGACACATGGGACTGTGCTTCACCCCCCCCCCTACTTGGTACACGGGACTGCTTCACCCCCCCCCCACTTGACACATGGGACTGTGCTTTACCCCCCCCCCCCCACTTGATAAACGGGACTGCTTCACCCCCCCCCTTGACACAAGATTGTGCTTCATCCCCTTCCCCCACTTGGCACACGGGATTAGGCTTCATCCCCCTCCCCCACTTGGCACACGGGATTGTGCCTCGCCCCCCCCCCCCACTTGGCTGTGCTTCACCTCCCACTTGACACGCTGGAATGTGCTTCAACCCCCCCACTTTGCACACGGGACTGTGCTTCACTTCCCCCCCCCCCCTACTTGACATTCAGGACTGTTTCACTCCCCCCCTCACTTTTCACACAGGACTGCTTTACTAAGTCCTGTGTGGCACACAGGACTCTGCTTCACCCCTCCTCACTTTACACATGACTGTGCTTCACCCCCTTCACTTGGAGGACTGTGCCTCCCTCTCCCAGCCTCAGCAGCCTCGGCCTACAAACACGATTCACCCATTCTTTATTACCAAATTGTGTAATACATGTACAGAAATTGTCGGGAGGGGGAAAAGTGTTTGTATTTTTAAGAATTTCCCAAAATTATTTGCACCGTTAGGGACGGGATTAGCCTAATGAATATTTCACATTTGTATAGTCGGATACGCAGGTACATGTTTGGTCTATCCTTTGTGAAATGTTCATATATATGAACGGGGGAGGCGTATGTGCACCTGTCTTAAATGCAATCCGTCATTCACAAATTATTGTATCTCTAGCGAATGTGGCTGGAATGTACATAATAAAGACTTGCAATCCCCCGCTCTCCCATAAAGCAAGTTTTATATAGTTTTGTCATCCAGTCCTCTTAAATGGGAGTACTTGTAGCAACTATTTTATCACATACACAAATGTACTGTTGGACACGGAAAAACTCAAGTTTTGTACTATTGAATTACCCCAAATGGCATTTAAATAGAGAAGTAACTAATGGATCTAATATAACGTAGCACTTCTAGGCCTAATATAGTAATTATGTGGCAATCTAAGCCTATGAATGTTTTAAGATTCATTTTTGGCTCTGTTTTCATGCCCTCTACAAAATTAATAACAAGTGAACATTGTTGGCTGCAACAGTCCATTTTTGTACGTTGAGCAAAATTGTTGCTATACCTATTATCATTTTTGGAATGGGTTGACTTTTGAGGTCCAAGAAAGAAGGCAACAATAAAACTCGTATTTTCTTAGGCCTATTTTTGTATATATACAAAACCTAAGATTGCGTTAAGCCTTGAATTGATTTAGGCCTAGGACATGTTTGGTTTATTGCTTTTAAATATAGCAATAAAGATTTACTGCCCGTTGGTATTCTAATAGTATAAAGCGTGGACTTTATTTTTGTGTAACGGTTCATGTCTTGTACATTCCTTCCATAGTAGCTATATATAATGCATATCATATTGGGAGGCTCGGATGTTTAATGGCTACAAGCTCGAAGGAGCATGTAGATGAGAAATCTGAATATTCTACGCCATCTCTCGACAAAAGTGTAGGCTGTACACAGTTACGTGCTGGATGGTCGTAAACCCGCGAGGAGCCAGCCTCGTGGAACTTTCGCGTGAGACACAGACTTGCAGATGTTAACGAGCATATTTATAACTGCTTGGTTCAATTTTGACAGAATGTAGACCATGTCATGTGTGTGCGCGCGCCCGAATTTTCTACAGGTAAAAGCGGAACAACCCAAACTCGTTATCCAGTGGGTGTTATTTTTTGGGATAATATACATGTGACACCGTAATGGAGCACGAAATAGTTGTCAAGAAAATCACGTTATGTTCATTGGATTGTTGCAACTCTGGGATTTCATTTCTCGGCCAAATGTAAACATGAATAAAGAAAACATAACGACATTCTAGTTGGTGAAAACTAGCACAGACAGCCAGGTTCATCTCGTATCAGGAAAGAATCTGGTCAGTCGCGCAGCCCAGTCTCGAGAAGAGTTGAAGTAGTTGTGCCTAACGAGTCCTACAAACCTAGGCAATGCACCTAATTTATGAGACCATTGTGTCAGTCTGAGGAGGCATAAATGTTACTATGCTTTTAATTCCACCAACGGTCGATTTTTTTGACACCGGTAGATTACGCCCACGAATCAACCCGCCACTTACAAATTACGTAGCTTTTCGCTCGTATGCGCTACGGCCAAATAGCGACGTAACTCTGAATGGAAATTTATTTTCCAATTCAATTTTGGATTTTTTTGTTCCAAAAACATCAACTTAAGGGGGTCCTCTGGTAGGTTAAGAGGGCAGGAAGTTCTCCTAAGGTTTCAAAACATCGTGAAAACATTTAATTGAAAGTTTCCTCTCCTAACCGAACAAGCTAAGCCAAAGGACCCAAAACGGAACAGTACGTCACTTTCGTGAGCCGATTTCATTTTGAATTACGTCGATGTTTAGCCTGAGTGTGTATACGAGCAAAAAGCGACGTAGTTTGTAAGAGGACGGGTTGTTGAGCCGGGTGACTCTAGCAGGCTTGTAGTATTTTTCCTTGCAAATTTATGTAAATATTATCTTTATATTGTATATTATTTAATAAAGAAAAAAACGCGGGTTTGGCTTCCACGATTTCTAAGAGTGAATGACACTCTGGAAAGCTTCACGCCTGGTGTCTTGTGATGTACATAATTTTGGCGCTCCTGCTTTCTCTTGTACATGGGATGACCTGTATCTTGGCCGTGCCGTTTTATGGTGAAGTGTGACCGCTTGTCACGCTGGTTTATGGTTTTGTGAGTGACTAATATACGAGTTTGTTATGCATGGCATGTGGAGTCGTGCATTATAATAACTTTTCGGGCCATGTTGCCTCTGGTATCTAGCTCATCCTTGCCATGACGGTTTTTCTTAACTAGAACATAACTGGTCTGAGTTTCTGAATCAAAGCGGTGAATCTGATATTGAAGCGGCGAATGGCTGTTAGCCTGTGTTTGACTTACGGCCTAATTTTGAATTATAGGTATCTAGAGTATTTTTTGTTAAGAGTATGTTAAGCAAATTACCACGGCCAAATATCATTGAGGCATATTAAAATCTACGCTTGTACAGTAAAAGTTCACTAACCAACAACATAGCGAGCAATGCAGATTAACGTTACAGCGTAATGCCTGCAGTTTACATTTTTTGTACTCTGAAAAATCAGTTAGCCCAAGATAAATCAAAATCAGGTTAACAAATCCCGTGATGCAATAGGCTTCTTCAGTCCCAGCATCCGAGCCGCGCCAGCCGCTCCTCCAAGGTAAACATTGTGGTGGCTCAAGTGTCGAGCGTTTAAAATCTTAATCAAGGACTGTGGTGGCTATACAAAGGCGTCCGAATTGAGGTTCTTTAATTACACTGAACCACCTAAATTTGAAGGCTGGTGCTCAGAGTTTCTAGATTAAATGAGTCGAGTGTAAGTACGGGTTGAGGGGAGGCGTTGTGTATTATGGCAGATTCAAAGATAATTTAAAGTAGTGTCAACTTTTGATATTTGATGTGCAAAATATTTTGCGGCTCTTTCCATACAAATTTGTACAAACACACAATTTGTAGCTGGGAAGTACGGGACTGGTGAAAACGCCAGTGTCTGGCATCCTGTTCAACCTTATGTTACAATAATATTTCTCTCGGTTTTCAATCCTCCGATCATCCAAGTGATTGGGAAAC